AACCCAAAGCATCATTGATGCTGCTCACTCATGCAAAAATGCCTCGTGAACTGTGTGAGGCAGAAGGAAGCGTTCTTCCGCTCTCCAGACGCAGGGTCCTGGCTGAGATGCCAGGAAACTGGGGAGCACTGACGCCATGTGCTAATTTTAGCATCCAGGTGTCTAGCATTGCTTCTGCAGGTCTTCCATAAAGTGAGAGAAACAATGTCTCCTTCACCGGGTTGGTAACATTGGAGGAGAACAGACAGGAAAGTATAGTGTGAACTTTAGAACTCACGCCAAGAGGAAAAAGTCATCATCCCCATCATCTTCATTATCACAATTACCATCAGTCTCAATTTCCATCACTTTAATTGCCATTATCACCACCACTGCCATCACTGCCACCATTACCATAAACAAACCAAGATTACTGTCACGCCTTCATCACCATCACTATTATCATTACCACCATCATTGCCAAGGTCACTGCTGCTAGAACATCATCACTGCCACCATCACCATCATCTCAAATTTTTTATTACAAAGTATACAACTTTCAATATGATTGCATTTCAATGTCAAGAAAACAGAGATTCTTACCACTGGACCAATAGGCAACATGATGATGGATGGAGAAGAAACAAACTGTCAACGACTTCTTCTTACTTGGATCCACAATTAACACCAGTAGTACCAGCAGCCAGGCAATCCAGAGATGTATTGCACTGGGAAAGTCTGCAGTTAGGGACCTCTCCAAGTTACTGAGGAGTAATGATGGCAGTTTGAAGACTAATGTGTGACTGATTCAGGCCATGGTCTTTTCAATCACTTGCTATACCTCTGACAGCTGGACAATGAATAATGATGATGGAGGAGTAATTTGATGCCTCTGAGCTGTGGTTTTGGAGAAGAGCGCTGAACCCCCCATAGACAGCCAAAAGGACAAACAAATTTGTCTGGGAGAGGGTGTAGCCAAAGTGTTCTTTGGAGGCAAAGATGACGAGGCTTTGCCTCACATACTTCAGGCATGTTGCTGGAAGGGTCTATTCCTTAGAGAGGGACATGGTGCTGGGAAGAGTAGAGGATCAGTGAAGGAGAGGAAGACCCTCAACCAGGTGGATTGGCACAGTGATCGCCACAATGGGCTCTAGCGTGTCAGGAAGTGTGAGGATGGCACTGGACAGGACAGGGTTCAGAGCTGTTGTTCGTAGGGTCGCTATGGGTCGTACTCGACGACACCTACCAACAAGCTCCACCCATCATCACCATGCTCACTGCCACCGCACTGTCATCACCACCACCATCGTCACCACTGCCGTCATCTTTACCATCACGGTCATCCCCACATGGCCACCATTATGAACAGGACCCTCATCTACTATCACCATCATCATCATCATCACTCAAGAGACACCCACGTCAGGTTTTTAAGTAATTCTACTTTTCCTCCTCTTGAAACACAATCACTTCTGTCTATCTTCTGAGACTCAAATTGGAGCGAAGAGTCCCTGGAGGGTGTATTGAAAAGGACTGTCAGACTCTTTTTCAGAGTTTCAGAGTTTGTAGGTCAGAGAGAAAGCCTGCCAATCAGCACTTTTCTCAAGTTCCTGAACCTCGCTGATGTCGTTACTCCAGGAATAACACTGTGAGAAGCAAATGATTAAATCATTAACGAAAAGCTTGGCTATTAGATATTTCAAGACACCTTAGAAATCGCCCAAGTTCATACCCACAGCTGATATCACCAACGCTCTCCACCCTCTTCCACAAAGCAGCAAGCCCATCACTGCCACACAAATGCAGTCCTGAATGATTCATTTCCATAAATGGGAGGAGAGGTACCGTGAATGAAAAGTAGAAGCCAGGGAGGTTTCCTGGGCAAGCCTCCACGGCGTGAGTCAAGTCTCTTCGTACTATTAAAACATAAGGCAGAGGAGATGCGAGGTGGCAGCAGTTCTCCACGTGAACATCTGGACCTCACTGCAGGCAGGCAGTGACGTGAGGGCTTCAATCCTGATTACACGAGCTTGCATGCAGGCCCCACATGCTATCAACTCAAGGGCATTCTGCATAACTTCCTTCCAGAGTCACCTGTGGGCACCTGAAGGTGTTATGTTAGTAAAACAGAGACAGATGGCACTGGGGTTCTGTGATGTGCAAACACGAAGACCCTCAATGAGGTGGACTGACAGAGCGATGCAACAATGGCCCCAAACACAGCAGGGCCTGTGGGGACAGCGCAGATCTGCCACATGGGGTCTGTCGTACGGGGTGTGGGGACGGCATGGGTCTGCTGTACGAGGCCTGCCGTCCGGGCGCCTGCACAGCACAGTTCTGCCGTACGGGGCATGTGGACAGCCCGGGTCTGTCGTACGGGGTTTACGATGAGTCAGAGCCAATTCAAGCGCACCTAGTAACAACCAGTACTCACCTAAGAAGGGGTGTGCACATCCCAGTGGGCACCTACTTATGGTTACCAGGGTGGAAGCTGGCCACCTACCCTTGTTTGTGTTCCTGTCACCATGGAGACCTCACATCCTTGAGCTTCATGTGACAGCTACCCATAATTTCTCAGAAAAATCAGAAATAGCTTGTTGGTATTATACAAGGGCTAACTATGCATCAAAGGGAATTAGTTTACTGCTTTTCTTCTTTTAATCAACGACTAGAAGAAATCCAATGAACCAACCAATTGCTGTTAACCTAGTTCACAGACTCGAGTGTTTTAAAGCAGAATTAGGTCCATGGGCTTTTCAGTTGCTGACTGTTCACGAGCAGATCATCTGGACTTTCATCCAAGGTGCCTGTGCGTGGCCTTGAACCTTCAAACTTCAGGCAAGAAACTAAGCTCATTAACCTTTTGCACTACCCAAGGCCTCCACAGGAAAACTAGTTTGAACACATGCGTTGGACACACGCATTCAGTGACCAGAGAAATGTACTATTTACTGGCAACATTTTAAAAAAACCAAGCCACCAACCCCAAAGGGGAAGACACCACTATCCCAGGAAACTTCCAGAAGCCACAGCCCCACCCCCATCTCCACTTAAAAGAGCCAATTTTCTTGGAATGTAACTGTAATCTTAATAAAGCTGTCAGCAAAGCAGGAAGTCATTTGTACAATCCATTTTATATTAAACATTTGCAACCATAAGCTCCAGGACTAAAATCCAGTCTGCCGCTATTAAAGAGCTGAGCAAACCCTTTAATGAAGATTATTAAATGTCTGGGGCCCAATTTCTGGATTAAACTCATTCATTTTAAGCCTCACCATCTTAGTTATGCCTCAGGAGAATTATTAAGGAGCCCTGGTGGTATAGCGCTTAATGCACCCGTTGCTGACCAAGGGGTCAGGAGCGTGGCCCTATCAGCTGCTCCAAGAGAAAAAGATGAGGCTGTTTGCTTCTGTCAGAGATCCGCAGACGTGGGCCCCACGGGGCACCGCCACTTCTGTCAGAGATCCGCAGACGTGGGCCCCACGGGGCACGGCCACTTCTGTCAGAGATCCGCAGACGTGGACCCCGCGGGGCACGGCCACTTCTGTCAGAGATCCGCAGACGTGGACCCCACGGGGCACCGCCACTTCTGTCAGAGATCTGCAGACGTGGGCTCCACGGGGCACCGCCAC